GGTTATGCTCTCCCTCCTGTCCACAACAAAACTTCTCCTCCACCATACCTAGGAGCAGTTGTGTCCTCCTTCTTATTTTTTATTTTTTTCACTCATGTATGTACTATTGGGTAAATCCTCAGGAATGGTAGAGCTGGATCACATGGAAATACTAGCTTTAGCTTTTAAAAAAACCTCCATATTGATTTCCATAGCAGCATCCTTTTATTTAGTTTTTAATTTACTGTGAGAATGTGCCATGCTATTTTTGTCCATCTACGGTTCTTATGTCAAAACTTATTTATAAGGAATTCAAATTTCATGGGCTATCCTGTGCTCACCTGACTCCCCACCCCCACCCCAGGAGCAGTACTCTGTAACTGAGTCCTCTGTCCAGTTCTCTGCTAACTCTCATGTGCTGAAAGTGTCCTTTCATAGAACAGGTGGGTCGGTTGCCACCGAAAGGAATGCCCGGGGCCTGTGGCTCCTGGGTTTGTTCTCTGCAGATTACCCCGACTCAGCTGCTCTGTGGATTGTGCTAGAACAAAATCGTGACTATGTCAGTCCCCTCCTCAATCCTTCCATGCATTTCTCTCAGAACCTATGGCTCATCTTCGCCCTGTCGGCCTCCCCTCTGCTCCTTCTTCCACAACTCACTGGCTCTGGCTTTAGAAAGTCTGGTTGCCCTGAGAGCTTGCTGAGCTTGTATTCTGTCTGGAAGCTCTTCAGACAAATGTTCGTGTAGATCAGCCCTCCAGGTTCTACGGCCTCTGCTCAAGTGTCTCAGCAGAGATCATCTTTGACATCCCAGCTGAAGGGAACTGTCATCCCTCATTGGTCACTTTCTGGCAGATTAATTCATTTCTACTCTAACAACTCAATGCCATTCAAATGATCTCCTTCACTCATGTGTTTGTCTAGTTAATGTGTTGCCTCTCTGGGAAAGTCACCCACTTCCTGCTTCTCACTCACCAGAATCTCTAGCCTGTGGGGGAGGATCTGGTGCAAGCTGGGAGCTCTAGAGATGATGAAGTGAGTTAATCCTATAGAAGGAGGGTTCTGTGTCTGCAAAAGCAATTCACACCTGGGGAGTGAAGTGCTGTTTCCCTGAAAGCAGACATCTGAAGTAGAGCTGATCAAAGGCAGTTCCTGAGGAGAAGATATGTGTGCATCTAACCTTTCATAGAAGATTTTCAAGGTAAAATGTGAGAGAGAAAGAGTAAGAAACTAAGGAAGGTAACAAGTCCAGGTTAAGTCTTGGTCCAAGCCTGATCCCCTTGAGTCTTAAGCCAAATTGTACCCTCTTGTGGCAGGCAGGTGCATCCTGGGAGCCTATTAACACCAGGGGTTTAGGCTCCCAATGCTGGCTAATGCAGCAACAATAACCAATAGACAGTTATCTGATGAAGGCCTCCTGACCACATGACCCACCAGCAACAAGCAGTGCAGCAGCTGAGGAGCAGGTGCACAGAGCAGGTGCACAGAGCAGGTGCAAGCCTGTCTGGAAAGACGGGGTTTCCTATAGCTTCTTTGACAGCAGACCTGGAGCAGGACTTCCCACCATAGCACATCAGTGGGACAGGCTGCCATCTTCCTCACAGAGCTGTCTGCAGGTATTGCCAGAAGCCTGGGGATGCTGCCACAAGTCTAGCAGTATATGTGAGGACCTCTAGTGCACCAAGGGTCAAGGAAAGAGAAGTGCCCATTTCCATTCTAAGGGACATCACACTGCTGTCGGGCTGGGCCTTTCTGCAAGAACAAAAACACAAGCAACTGTCCCTTGGGGTGGGGCTCTTTGAACAGGCAGTGGAAGATAAGCTGAGCTTTTTTTTTAAGGAAATCTTTAAGCAATGGAGTGGGAAGTCATGCCCTCCAAGGTCTAAAGGTGGCAAAGGAGGAAATTGAGAGTATCTATTATCATGTAATGGAAAAGGCACAGGTCAGAGTCCAATAGAAAGAGCTAAATGCTCCAATAAAATGGCACCACAAACTTAATATGGACCTGATCTTAAAAACTTCAAAAGACTGCGTGTGTCACCGATGGGAATGTAACAGTCTCACGGTGTGTAACGGCACTGACAAAGTTGGCAAGCATCCCTTTAAAGTGCATGGCTGTTCTGTGGCCTCTGCTTTACATTGCTATAATCCATCAGTTAAGTATCATAATGGAAAAATTCTAATACGTTATGACCAAGGCACAACTGATAAGATGTGAATAGCATCTGAGACTATGCACCAAGTCTCACTAATTTATTAGCCTATTTATTTGAAATAGATTGAAAGTAAAGCTTCTCTCTGATGCTAGCTAGGTGGCTTTGGGGAGAACACTTCAGTGCTCAATGGGGCAGGGTGTTGTAGAATATTATTTTAAGATGTGTTACGTTTGTTTGTGTTGTGGAACATTTGTTTTAATGATGCAATGTTTCAGGATGTGTTGCATTCCTTTATGTTGCATTTGCTTAACTCTGTGAAGCTGTGTTACTTTGCCTATCTAAAACACCTGATGGGCTAATAAAAAGCTGAATGGCCAGTAGCAAGGCAGGAAAAATGATAGGCAGGGCTGGCAGGCAGAGAGAATAAAAAAGAGGAAAAATCTGGGAGGAAAAGAAGAAAGAACAAGAGAACAAGGAGAGGAGGACGCTAGGGGACAGCCACCCAGCCACACAGCCAGCCACAGAGTAAGAGTAAAAGTAAGTTATACAGAAGTAAGAAAAGGAAAAAGCCTAGAGGCAAAAGGTAGATGGGATAACTTAAAGTTAAGAAAAGCTGGCAAAAAACAAGCCAAGCTAAGGCCAGGTATTTATAATTAAGAATAAGCCTCTGTGTGTGATTTATTTGGGAGCTGGGTGGCAGGATGCCCAAAAGAGCAAAACCAACCAACAACATCAGGGATCTTTCACAGGCTATAAGCTAGAGTTTGGTGAACTCATTCAGAAACTCTTCCTCATCTCCATTATGACATGCCCGGTAATGTCCCTATCATGTTGCTCATGTATTCCATAAGACTGTAGGAAGAATGAGTTTACTTATTGTTGTGCATGTCAGATAATGACTTTTGGGAGTCTGGTCTCTTCTTTACTGTGGGTTCCAGGGATGGAATCAGACTCTTAGTCCTGCTCAGCAGATGCCTTCACCCACTGAGTTCTCATACAGGCCCTGGCCATGCCCTGTGTTCTGAATCCCCAACTGTTGTAAGCTGCAGGAAAATGTAATGGAATTCAGCTACGAACACAAAAGTTACTACTTGGAAAAGTCAAGAACTTTTCCCAGAGGTCAAGCCATGGCTTAAAAAGTGTTGGTGATATTTTAGCTTTTGTATGTATATTAGCTGGTTCCTGCAATGATTTTATTGTATGCTACGTGTGCTTCCAAGAACTCCTAACAGTGTATATATCTAAAATACCTATCAAGCATCCAAGGCCAAATGATCTCCCGAACTAAAGTAACACCCTTATGGAAACAATATCTGTCTCCTAGGTCAGGCAGATAGCTTTATTTCTTGTGCAATTTAAGCTGAGACCCTCCTTTCTTATACAGCCTTACGAACATTATAGACTCCTATTTTCTTACCTAACCACTTCTAGGAATGTAGATTGAGCACATAAATCTCTTTTTCTTGATATACTAATCAATCATTAGCTCTCAGCTTTTTGGGTTGCCAAAGAAAGTCTGATGGCCACTCCCTGAGGAAAACTCTTATCTGCCTTTATGACCCTGTAAGAATTCATTCAAGCCTGGTGACATTGCTTGGCCATAGATTGGCTATTGCTTGGCTTTATAACTGAATATCTGAGAGATAAGGGGGCTGAGAGGTATAAGGAGACTTAGAGGAGATTTTGAGGGATAGAACTTGAGGGCAAGACAGAGAAGAGAAAAGAATGGAAGAACTAGATGGGTAAGAACTGGAGAGGAATGAACTAGATGGGGAAGAACTAGATTGAGGGGCTAGAAGAGAGGACTAGAGGAACGAGATGGAAGATGAGGAAGAGCCAGATGGGGAGGAACAAGATGAGAAACCCAATAATATACAAATAACTCTTACCCAGATAACCCCATTCTAAATAATTCAAGCATTTTAAAGGCAGAAATTGTTAGGAATGCTATCTATAGAATTGAATAGGTTCACTTTGATTAAAAACAAAACACATTCATACAATATTTTAAAAAAAATCAACCAACCAAAACAAAACAAATAGCCTGAAAGGAACCACAGTGTGGGGCACCACCTTAGAAATCAATTCCTTCAACAGTCTCTTGTTGAACAAGCCTTGGTTCCTTATTCTCATTACATAAGACCGAATGACCAAAAAAGTCAATCTTCAAAAGAGTGTATATACATTTCTTCTCCCCTTACACAGTCAGGCCCATGCTCCCGGCCCACTGAGGATGAGATCAATGGCGTGTTTAAAAGAGAAAGTGTT